TGTTGAAACACAGCTCTTTTTAAGTGACCTAAAAAACTGTATCAACTTAAGCCACATACTGAAGCAAGTCAGAAATGGCATGACGGCGTGTGTTACCTGATGTTTGAGTCCCAGTTCTTTAGCTTAGGTGACCATATGATGATTAGTCAAAAACAGGATGATTCACTGCACCTCGTACCAACACTATTCTCAGCTACAGTGATGATTGATAAAAATGTTAATATTATACATTATAATAGTGAAACATGTAAAGCAAACAAGATGCTTGTGAAGTCCCCTTAGTAGAACAGTTACCTTTTTGTGCATGAACAGGGCATGCGTAGGTTCAGATCGGTCAGGTGCTTCTCAGCTGTGTCCGCCTCAGACAGGTCATATGGTAACAGTCGCAGCTCCGGCCCAGTCGACCTCTTCATCTGAAGCACGAGCGGCTGAACTGTGACAGCTGGAAAACTCAAAGGCTGATTCAGCTACACAGCCTGGTAATGTGGTCATGGCAGCAGAATGAGTGAAATCAGTGTAAATGATTAATATTCAGAAATGAGTCACTACTGTGTATTTATTAGATGTGTTTTGATGCTGTTGATTAATTAGATTTGCCTCCTCTTTATTAAGAAACAAGACTGCTGAATCATTGAAACAACCCTTCTTCTCAGTTCTTCTGTGTGTGTTTGCACCACCTGGAGGTCACAATCAAAAGCAGTTCCTGTTTGCAGAACACGTTTGCTGAAAGTATCGAAACACCTATGGTTTTAATGTGCACCCGCTGTGAAAGTTTAAGTCGCTGCACTACGCCCGCTCATGTGCAATTCTAGCTGGCGTCATGCATGTGCTCCAGCTGTAGCTCTGATCCTGTTTCTCCTTTCAGCTTTTCACTAACAGCTTCTTTCCTTCTTTTCTCTATTTCTTCCTCTAACCTCTGGTGCTGTCTGGCTGTTCATCCTCGGCCTGGTCCATCTGCGCGGCTGCATGTGGGGTGTGTGCTTTTATGTACGGGTTTCTGTGTGTGTGTGTGTGTGTGTGTTCACAAATGTCTGCACGTGTGCCCCCTTTTCTTTTTTTTTTCTTTTGATTTTGGGGGGTGTGAATGTGCATGCTTGTGTCTGACTGCGTGTGTGTGCTGCCATGCAGTCGTGCGGAGCAGGTGCCTCCCTGCCTGACTCATGAGACCTCGCTGCCCTCACCGTGGGGCACGCCAGCCCTCGCCAGGAAGAGGTAGCTACAGCGCTCTGCCACTTTCCTCGCCCTCATCCCTTCCTTTCCATTTCCCTCACCTTCAGGCGACGCTAAGTCGCCCACCAGCGCAATGGTCACGAACCTTTCTAACTAGCATATAAATCTTTTAGCAAATCATGAAAATGTGGCAAGATATAGTTGCTAACCAGAGATGAAACAGGTTTCCATGAGAAAAACAGAAAGTGAGAAGGAGTCATTTAGATTGTTGTTTTCAGCTAATAAAACCTTAAATTTGAGGTTTTCAGCTGATGATTAAAAAGCAATTGTTCGAAAATTGTAAATGCACCCATTGGCCGTAACCCACAACTCAAGATTATTTTCATTATCTAATAATCTATTGATTCTATTTTGATTCATCATTCAATGAAAGATTTTAAAAAAAAAACATCACTTTTTCACAGAGCCCATGCAAACATCTTCAAGTTGCTTGTTTTAATTTGTTAATTAATCGATAATGAAAATGCAGCCTTGCAGCCTATAAATGATAGGAAATGACAAAAATCGAAAGATCCTCACATTTGAGGACCCGGGACTAAATAATGTTATTAATTGTTGCTGATAAATAACTAGATGTAAATGAGTTTTCATTTGACCAACTGATTAATTGACTGATCATGTCATGTTTCTATAGGTCTCTTCTTCCTCAAGTGTGCATTTTTGCTATAAACTTTAAACATTAAAAATATTTCTTAGTTCTGTTGATCTTTTCTAATTCCTCACGTCTTAATTCACATTAAATATGGGATGAAAACCTTATTAGGGTTAGGATAGAATAATGAAAATGACTTCTTACACTGGAATAATCTGGCTGTCTGAGCATTTGGAGCTGCAGAAAGTACTATATGACAAACCAACCAAAAATTTGATCAACTTGAACTACATTTTTGTTGTTACCACCACAGAGAAATGTCTGTCTCGCACTTTTCCACAGCTTCTCTCAGGCAGGATAAAGTGTACAGCATCAGCCAAATTACTGTCGGCCTAAAGTAGTCATTTTTCACATTCCTGTTCCCCCCTCCTGCTCCTTTTCTTTTCTTTTCTCAGCTGGGATATTAGGGATATTGGGATATTAGGCTAAATCTAAAAACATTGGTTGCCCGTCCACCTAAATCCAGAATCTGCTGCTCTTTGAATTCATTTCATTTAAAAAAGGAAAAACAGTGGGGCATTGTAAATGCACCCTGCCTTACTGAGCTGTAATAACTGCCAAGGTGAATTTGGGTCTCTCCTCAGTACTCTCCCCGTCTGTCTGCCTGGATCAGCTCCAGGGCTGCATATTCATGAGGTGGACTAATTTGACAATTAGAGATGAAAAGGCCCTTGTCTTTGTTTGTGTACTTCACTCAAAGCTCTTTGTGGATTTAGTTACATTACCTTTGGTCGGAATAGAAACAGGTTTCTGTACCCGAAATGATCGGAGAACCCATGAAATGTCAGGAAAGCAAGATGCAAATTGCTTAGAATTTGTTTGGTTTTTATTGAAATGAAAACATCTCCCGTGATTTACTCTATCCAAATGATACGTAGCAACTCCAAAACATCTTGTGCAGTGAGCTTTGCCTTAAAGAAATGACAGCAGTGTTGTTATTATCCTGTGTGTGACAGTGACACAGCCGGAGCCTTAGATTAAACAAATGGATATTAGTCAAACAAATAGTGGTGCATGTTGGGATATTAGGCTAAATCTAAAAACAGGAGAAGTGGTTATGTGTGAAAACACCATGCATCAACACTAGGTAGTTTTAGATTGTTTTTGTAAAGATCTACATCTGCACTAAAACACCTGAATAACAGAAAATTGCTACATCATAGCTTATCATCACGTACAGTGTATTTATTTTTTATTTTTTCACCCAGCCAAAATCAAGAACAAGTTCTCATTTACATATTTTCCCATTTTTGTTGTTAGACAACTAAACGAGCGTAAAATAGTGATTTAATTTTAGCTTTTAAATGCTTCCTCTTAACCAGCCAAACAGTAATTCCTGCACTTATAGATTGAGACATCACTCCAAATGATTTGTGAAATCATCTGACAAAATAAAAAAAGAGAAAAGATTAAATTAAATATAGCCAAATTCATACTATCTATAAATCAAAGCAGGATTTGAGTATGCAGAGTGACTTCTGAGTGTATAAAAAATTTTTGTGGATGGTGTTAAAACAGGAAATAACTATTACTCCCTTCTTGGGAGTTTAATTTTCAATCATTGTATACCGTTAGATTGTGCAAGCTCTTCCCACCATGTTGCTTTACTACTGGAGCTTCTTATGTAGCCCTCAGTACTACTAGCCAAACACAAGGCCAGTCTGTGGCTGGTAACTTTGCCCTCTCTTGTCTTGCAATGCAGCCAAGAATAACTTAGAAGCCCAGTTACACTCAAAATGCAATTAAAAGTGGATCTCAGCCAGATGAACAACCCGGTTAGTTTCCCGCCCCACATCCAGCACGCTGACTGCAGCCTTTTTTCAGCTCTGTATCTCTCCTGAGGGGGGGATTTGCCACTCTGTAATTTGCATCTCAGCAACACGCCTATTTTGTCTAATTGCCCGACTGCAGACCCCAGCAGACCTCCTGCTCCCTGCTGTTTGCACATGACTCGGTGCTTTAGATGATAGCCGACTGACATCTTGATCTCTGAAGTGTGAGGACCACTGACTCATGCTAAATAAACTTAGAGCCAACGTGTTAAATGCAATGCTTTCACTGGTTCACTCAGTAATTATTTCCATCTTCATTGTAAAAATGTTTGCACTGAGCTATGAAACAACCTCTGGAAGACACACTGGCTGTAAAACTGAATATTTAACAGCCAGTTTCCCTATTTTTGTGAGCCAGTTACATATTTTACAGTAGGCTAAGGCTTCCACTATAATCTCCTACAACCCAAATTTAACAATACATGCCTTGTGGCAGGTCATAATAGATGAAAGTGGTACATATTTGACAATGTTTTACATTTTACACATTTCCATCACTTGTGTTGATCTTTGTTTTCTGTAAAGCATCTAATGAGAGACGTTTCAAAGTTTTGTGAATGACTTTGGCTTGACTCAGCTAGATTTAACGAAATGTAACTATCTCTCTCCCTGTGCTCCCAGACAAGGCTACTACGGCACGTCTGGCCCTCCCGCCCCAGTCAAAGCCCTGACAGACCTGAAGCTCCACTTAGCAAATCCCTCCCACCCTGCTTCCTCCTCGTCTTCGTCTGATATGGTGGTCATCCACCCAGGGGCCGTCCTGGCCATACTGGACCTGCTGCCCTCCGTCTCCTCTGACAGCCAGCCAGAGGTGAGGAAACGCATGAAGGAAATACGCTAACATGCACTTCCTGTTGAAGTGGGTGGAAGGGGTTACATGTAGGGCAGGAAAGTACCTTTTTTTTGTGAGTTTGTCACAGTGGTTTTTACATGTGAAAGTAGGGCTGTACAATAATTATTGCAATATAATATTCCTCAATATTAATATAACAAATGTTCAATAAATGTTTGATTATTTATTTGAATCATGAACAAATCACCACTTAATTTTTCTATTAAGATATTTATTTTGTTGACGAAAAAGGACTGGGGGAAAAAAGATTTTACTTCATTTTACTCATGCATATTTCGTGGAAAAAGATTTTATCAGAATTGTTTTGAATGTTCTACCTCAGATTTGTGAAATGGTCCACTGTTTGTCATGTTATAACCATAAAGAATAGTTAGAAACCACAACTAACCATCTGAATTCCTCAACTTTCACTCAGGATCAAAAATCAGCCTTTTAAACTTAAAAGAAATAATGCTTGACATTTATTTTGATAATCATTGATATCGATATGACATATCGCCCAGCCCTATGTGAAAGCCAACCAGACAGTTTGTACAAAGCATGCAAATAATAGTTTAGTAGATTTTATGGTGAGTGAATTGAAAATGTTTGTTTTTATAATTAATTCCCCAAAAAGTCAAAGTAATTTCAACACATTGACGCAACAAAATACTGAAATCCACGTTCTCCTCCTTCTCCTCTTGTTGGCCCTCCAGCATGCCCTCGACCTGCAGCTGGCAGTGGCCAATATCCTCCAGCTCCTGGTGAACAGTGAGAGGAACCAGCAGGTGCTGTGTGAAGCTTGCCTCCACCAGCGGCTGTTGCAGCGCTGCAGTCAGGCCCTGGCCGATGAAGACCACCCACTGCACCCGCCGTTGCAGAGGATGTTCGAGAGGCTGGCTTCGCAGGCCCTGCAGCCGATGGCACTCAGGTACGCAATTTGGCTAAGAGTTAAACCTCTCCTATGTAGGCTACAACATCCCTAAAATTAACATTGCCAGTATTATCCCAATTTTAGTATGACTTCATTAACACTGAACCAAACCTTGACCCCAAGTGGTTGTTAGGGATGAAACGATTACCGGTTTAACGGTAAACTATGGTAAAATTCCAGACGGTTATTATTACTGTACACATTTTAATTACCATGATAACCGGGTACAGTTAACCGCGCTGTTGTAATCTTAAACACTGTCCATAACAACACGGCGGAAGACAGCGCTGCGAGATTTTCACTCTGAAGTCCGGTCGTATTTTAGTTTTTATGAGAGTGTTGAGGGAAACTTGATTGAAGAAAACAGCCTTATAGTGAACGCAGGTGAGTTAACTTTTAGCTTTGGTTCGTCTCTCTGACTTGCTAACAGCGTGTAAACTGAAGCTCTCAGTGTTGCAGCTCTTGTAAAAACACTACACGTTGTTCTGCTGCTGTGTGCGTCCTGTGTCAGCAGAGTTCATTCGTCCACTGCACATGATAACACGTTAACACGTAACCAGCTTATCTAGAAACGCTACAGACTCTTCTGTATTTATGTCAGTTGTTGGGCTCATTACAGTTACTGTCACTGTCTTCTAAAGACTTATTTGTTTTCATGTAATTGTCCACGGGGTCATTGTATTACCTATATAATATAATATAAATATAAAATGATAATGCACACAGATGATTTTCATATGTTTACAAAAGGTATTGGCTGTCATTTTATTTTTTATGCAAACAAAATGGCAATTGTATTTGTAGTTTTCAATATAAAACTTGTTGAAATTGTTTCAGTGTGTGTATCAGTACATTTTAATACTTTTTTGGCACATTTTTACAATACCGTGATAATACTGATAACCATGATAATTTTGGTCACTATAATTTGGTGATTTGAAGTTTTCATACTGTTTCATCCCTAGGTACCCCAGACTTTTGTGAGACTTCATTTTGTACAAGAAGTCTCCCAGACTACCTTTAATAAACCTTTATTGTAATTTGAGCTGAGCGCTTAAAAGGCATCATACATTAATATACTGACTTTGACCTTGCAACATTTAGCATTTTAACATGCTAACGTTTAGATTTTTAAAAATTTTGTTTGTACATTATTATTTTTTGGGGCATTTTATGCCTTTATTTGATAGCCAACAGCACAGAGATGACAGAGGACGACAAATTAGGGGAGAGAGAGATTTGAAAATACAACAAACGTTCCCAGCCAGACGCAAACCGGCTACTGGGTCATCGACCATCTTAAATGCTACTGTTAGCATGTGCCTACTAATATTTAGAATCTTGCTAGCATGCTAACTTTTAGTGTTACCTGTTAAGCTAGACAGAGAGGTGAGGTTTTGGGAAACGTCATTTACTTTGACAGGTTTCAGTGTGCGAAGGACGGCTATGTATGCAGACAAAACTGAACGATTCTCATTTTCCGCTTGACAAGTTAAGTGAGATGGGAGGTTGGGGTTGACGAACAGGGGCAAAGTTATTTGACATGCTGGTTCTTCTTATGTGTAAATGCAGCCTCCCTGGCTGATGTTCTCCCCCCCCCGTAATTGTGCTAGAGGTAAACATATCTGTAGCTGTCAATCTGCTTCCCACCCTCCTCTCCTCTCGTCAGTCTTGTTCTGTCACTTTCCCTTTGTAATTCTTCTCCTCCTGTGTTTTTGTCTCTGCTCTGCCAACATCAGCACCAACTAAGCTCCAGAGTATTTCTGTTTCTTTGGTGTAATTCTGAAGCTGTCTGGTTCCAGCAGCTAGTGTCGCTCACTCCGCGCTCTGACATAAACCATCACTGGGACTCTTTGCATTCAAGTTACTTATAGTATATGCCAGTCAACCTTGTCATTTGACTTATAAACATGCCATTAACCACATCTGTTAAGGATTTAAAGTCAGCCTGCAAAGTAACTGCTGACTTAATATACTGCATACAATTAGATGGATGCTTTGTAGTTTCATGAGAACGTATAAGATGTGTTTATAATTAGTAACTATACCTGGCAGTGTTGGAATATACGCACTTGTCCCGAGTCACATAACTCATACACATGTACATGCATTTTATTTCTCTGCATCTGTCTCTGTGATACAGATGTTGACTTTACTGTAACACCCAATAGTGGTAAATAAAAGCTGGTACGGTAACTATGCAAAGTTCAGCAATAATAATCACAAGAGGAACAGTAAAATTGTATTGCCATTTGGTTTGTCCTGTGTTTGTTTATTCTTTGTTGGTATATTTTTATTCTTGACATCCTGGTCATCTTCCCCTCCAGGGAGTTCTTACGTCTTGGAAACCCTCTGAACTGCGGTGCCTGGGACAAGAAGCTACTGAAGCAGTACCGGGTTCACAAACCGAGCTCCCTCGGCTACGACGCCGAGATGAGAAGTAAGACAGTAACACCTCTCATCCCAGTTTTAATCACATGATAGTCACTGCTATAAGCTCTCAGAGGAAACGCTGTTCTCTATCAGATGTGTTTAAAACAGAAGATTAACCCAGAGTCCCTCATGACCTCCCATGAGTGGCGTGGAGGGGCTGCACTGTGTTGTGGCATAACAGCAGGGTCAAGTGTTGTAGACAAGAAATAGTATTTTGCCTTTAAAGTAGATTTTTTAGATATTTGATAGATTAGATAGTTTTTTGTTATTTTTATGTGATATTAAAAAGCACTAATCACAACATTTAATTATCCACTGAATGATAAATTAGGACTGTAGATGAATAAATTTAACTTGTATTGTCATTCCTAATAATTTAGCTTAAGTTAATGTTGGCAATATGGCTTTGTCCCAGCAAATGCCTTGTGTTGTAGCCTTGAGTAAAAGTTTCCAAAACTGCTTTTAATGGATTTTGTAGTGAATTAAAAAGAACTTTAAATTTTATAAAACGTCTAGTAGAAGATATTGGCAAATCTTTTTTATCACAGATCCTAACTTTTTCATTTTAAAATGAGTTTGAATTAGTGGTCACCAATCACAGCCTCTTTGCAAGTGAGCCTATGAGTTTTTAATAGCTGGGAATTGAAGAGCTTTGTCCACAGCACTTCTCCAGTAAGGTTATGAAATGATAATGATAAATTTGGGAGCCATTCCCATCTGCCTCGGGGATACCATCTTTCTCCTGGGAGAAAGTTTTGCTCCTTAATAAAAGCTGGAAAAAAGGCCATCAATCATCGCACTATAATTCTGCCCTTTCATTCTTTGCTCGCTCTCTGCAAGCTCATCGGGACGTATCCTGCGATGAATAGGCTGTGATTGCAGAGGACGAACTTTCCGTTGCCATTTAATTGCTGGTGGAAATTACTAGCACCGGTGCAAAGGGGATGATTCTATAGGTTTTCAGAAAGGTTCAGATGATTGCAAAGTCAAACAGCCTGTACAGCCCTTACATTTTAGCCAGCCGCTTAAATATGGTAAACTATTTGCCTCGAATGCAAGTGGAATAGATCTGCATTCATTTGTTAGCAAAGCAGCAGGTTGACCGCTTGTAGGAAACCCAAAGTAGTCTCTGATTAATCTGATTAATCTCCAGTTGATGTTGAAACTCCCCGTTTAAACAAAGATCGTCTTGCCACTGTGAATCTAATGCAAATGCTTTGTTTTCTGTTAACAGCTGTTAATGTTTGTAATTTTGTGAGCTCCTCAGCATGTCTTAATTGCTTATTGTGTCTCCTCCCAGCTGAGAATGGATATTAAGTCCCTTCTAATTACTGCTCTTAACAAACAGCAACTGTTAGGACACACAGTGCTGTCTTTCTCTGTCTGTGAGATTATCTAGCGTGGTTTATTGGCTGGCATTGCTGGGTGTTGCAATACTGGCTTTGATCTAATTTGTCTTTGTAAGATGTGCCGACTTTTAACAAATATGACTAGCAATCCAGTCCTTCTGGGACGGTGAACATCTAGGCTTGATTTAACGCAGCCTATTCTCAGAGTGTGTGTCTGAGGTCTTTCACACTGAATCCGGAGCTCCAGTACTGCTGAAGTGTGTTTTATGTTTATTTAGACCCCTTTTGTTTTTTAGTTAGTTTACTACAGCAATATATATTCATTAATGTACCTAAAACAAATACAGAGTTTTAACATTTGGTCATTTTTGTGTCTAAGCTCAACAAGATGTATGACGAGTAAGAAAGCAGGTACAGGACTGGGGGAAAAAAACAAAAACAAATCAACAAGCTGGGCTATATGGATGTTAGGTGTGATCATAAAGAATCTGATAAACATGCTACTCGATTGAGTTATGAGTTAAACCTAAATTGATGCCATAACCAGTAGAGGTGGTGCAGCAGAGAAGCTTACAAAATGTAGAGAAACCTCAGCTATTCATATATTGGGAGATAAAACAAGCAACAAAATATTAAAGTAAGCATGCAGCAGCAAAGAAAGAACAAGAAATGAAGGCTATTGAGTTATTTGTTCCATTCAAAAAACACAAGAGGAGGTACTGTATGGTACCATCATCTACACTCTAGGCACTGGTACAGGAGTGAATAGATCACTATAGACTACAGCCATGATGTGAAAATGAGTGAGTGTTTTTCTTCCACCATGTTCAGGAGAAAACAAGTTTACTAACTGCAGCCAAACTCACACGATTTAAACTAGTGGTGAGTTTCCCATCCTAGATGTTGGATTATAAAAGTCATCCTATCTGTCAAATGCAGCGTATAACATTGCATCACCCACATCAGCCTTTCCTGTCTGACTTCACAGACAGCATGACCATGTCCATGGAGGGCTTTGGTCCCGACAGCGTCTTTGCCACACCTGCGGAGGACAACGGCCAGTACCGCATCAGCCGCAGCCTCGTGCGCTCCGCCGAGGGCAGCACAGTACCCCTCACGCGAGTCAAGTGCCTGGTGTCCATGACAACGCCCCATGACATACGCCTGCACGGATCGTCCGTCACACCTGCATTTGTCGAGTTTGACACCTCGCTGGAGGGCTTCGGGTTAGTCAGCATGAACCTTTTTTTTTTTTTCTCATCGGGAAAGGGGATGGGTCACATGTTCCTCACACACAGTCCTCATGTGAACTACGCTACAAGGAAATGTGAATAATTTATACTCAGTTAGCCTGATCACAGAGTTCCCCTCTCCACACATTAGAAATTGCGTTTCATAAGGAAACATTTTCCGTTTTCGCCATTGTTGTTGCAGTTTGTACTGCATTCTGGCCTTTTGTAGACCTCTTATTCTACCACAAAGAAACCCTCTTATTTCAACAAACAGGATGTATATATAAGAGTAGTTGCTGAAATGTGATTTGTAATAATTATATTTATATATTATATATTATTATATTATATTATATATTAACATATAACATACTATCTTAGATCTTATACGTTCACCAACATTTTCCTATTTTCACATGCTGCGGGCACAGAGCAACATTCGCATCGAGTTAGTGATAATTCTCTGGGTTTGTCACTTCAAACAACACCTTTATGTTTTCCAATCATTACATCCAGTAATTTTATCCATTGTAAAATAAGAAGGTCTTTTGATTTTTTTTGGCCGAACACCGAAAGTGCTATTTTGCTATTTGATTTCGGTGGCCGAACATTCGGTGCATCCCTAGAAATATTTATATGAGAACCTTTAATTATGCTCATTTTCAGGTTTATAATTTTATTTAGGGGTTGTACTGGAATAAAAAAACCATATTTGTCATACTGTGCATTGCTGCAACACCTCTTCTCACTCTGTGTGTTGAATGCTCCGTTTTAGCTACAGAGTGAAGCATCGCACTTCAATTTGATCTTTGTTTGGAGTTGCACATGCACAATACCTAGTTAAGGGCTACTAGCCAATTAGAAGCAGAGTAGGGTGGATCCTGACAAGCAGGTAAACATGCCTTTGGTTCAGCTTTGCAAGAATTTCAGGATGGTAATTAGTTATTAGTAACTAATTAGTAACTGTATACAAAAAAATGTTTAATACATGGATGCTCGAGTGTTTAAACTGCCCCTCAGTGTCTGTTGTTGTGATTTTTGTCTTCATCGTCTCCGTCAGAACTCAGGGAATGGGCCAGTCCTCATTATATGCTTTTAGAAGTGCTCTGGCAGCAACAGATGTTGCCAGTCTTTTGTAAACCACTTTTCTTTAAATCTTTCTCTTTATAGATCAATTGTCCTCGCTAGTGACACACACCTCAGGGTGCCACATGTTGTTTTCCCTGCAATTAAACTGGTTGTGTGTTTTTAGCCTCTCTGCAGCACCTGCAACTGTCTCAGCAGGAGATTTTTTATTATTGTTATTCGCCTCCAGTAGGGGAGCCGCGCATACAAATAGGCTTATTTTCCGCCTTTCATACAAAACCCTTTGTCGTGCTTTGCGCGTGCTGCTGCTGACGGGCTCTGCTGCGCCCTATTAGCCGTGCCGTGACTATTGGGGTCAGTGGAAATGATGGTGTGTGGGATGTGACCTTGGCAATCCGCCCACACACTTTTACCAGCACATACATGACAAACATGTTACACTGACACACTGTAAACAACTGTTAATCATTAATATTCATGAGGATACATGTTTAAGAAAAAGGGAGACGTCTTGCAAAAGGTCATTGTAGACCTTTTCTGTCAGTTAAGCGGCAAAATGGCAAAAGGTTATTTCCTGTTATTACCTGACCAGCATTTAATTACTAGGTAGCATCAGTCTGATTGATACGTATTATGCTGTTATAGACGAAAGCAGATATGCGATGAATTATACAGATTTGTATTGTTAAAAAAATCTTCAGTCCTCATTGGTTTTTCAAATACAGTTCCAGTACACACTAGACACATTGTATAGTGTCTTTTGATATGCCAGATTTACCTTTCAGACATAGAATATTTTGTTGTCTACGTACAGTAGATGGGACGTGCCAAATAAAATTGATAAAATTACTGCTACTCTGGATCTGGGAGATGGAACAGTGGAATATTTAAATGCAGCAACCACATCTTTTGACCCAAATCTCACAGTCTTCATCAGTGGATAGCGTTTGTTCAGTTCATGAGCTTCAGAAAAAAATAGAAAAGTGGACGTTGAGTTTTTGAGTGGACGTTTTGAGAATGATTTGGTCAAACAAGTTTTTCCTCAAAGTCAAGAATGAACTTTCACACTCCGTAAAATGCAATCTGTGGTATAATCTTTGTCGTATATCCATTGATTTGGGGTGCATAAGTATAGTGTGAATCGTAAAGCAACTAGAGGAAACTGTCAATTCTGTTTCTTTTGGCGGCCCTTGTTGACAATACTGCCCCAGTATCACGTCAAAAATGATATTCTCTGTAGAACAATCTCCTCTTGCTTCCTTTTAACCGGCTGACATGCTACTCACTGCTGAACTTTGCCTGGGAAAAAGTAAACAGGCTCTTCTGGTTTGCGTGCTGTAAACTGTTTTGTCTGATTTCACAGGGGATGGGGCTCAGTGTCATTAAGAATGAATGTATAGAAATAATATCCAATATTTTCTTGCTGATAGTCTTGTTTGTTTATGTCGGTCATATATAGGTCATCACTATTAAAGTGAGAAGGTTTCATAACCAGTTTAAAAACTCCTTGTAGTACATATACGGTTCTATTAAGGCATTGGTATCCGGCGCTAGAAAAACGTTAATCGTCACCTCCTATGACTTAATATAAATATACACACAGTATACAGGTTTATCTAATCAAATACTGGACAGAACAGACTCCTATGGAACAAACATCTGTGATATATAGACTTCATCCGTTCTACTAGACTTAGTGAAGAATCTTTAATTAAAGATTTGAGTACCAAACAGCAAGATCAGTTGCTTTTGACTTACTACTTGTAGAAACCCCTCACCCACCCAATGACCATATTTCCTGGTCCATGATCTCTGTTTTCCTGCTTCTTTTGACTTTGCGTTCCATTTGACTCGTCGCAGCAGCCGCCTCAGAATAGAACATTGAGTTTCTCCAGAAAACACAGCAAAGCAGCAGCAGCGCACAGGCAACGAGGCACTGGCCCACTTTCTGCTCAGCATGAACAGAGGACAGGCGCGCACACATGTGCGTGCGTGTGCGCACACACACACACACACACACACACACACACACAGAGACTGCCCCTCCTTCCTCTCCCATCTGTCACCATGAAATATTGATGCCCCTGCTGCTATTAGGAATCACACATACATACACATACCCACTCTCTATCGTGCACAACATGCTTACACACACTCTTAGACACACCAATGCACACACTCCAGCCAGCCATTTCACATGGGGCTTGGAAGATGCTGTCAGTGTGGGTGAAGGAAGGTGGAGTGAAAGTGAGTCCTTTTTCTTTTAAAGAATTAGGAAAACTGTATCTCATTCTGACTGGGGAAAAAAAAAATTGCATAGCAAGCCGGTGAAATCCCTCGAGTGTTTTTTTTTTTTTTTCTTACTTTAACCTAATCAAGGTGATGACTAATGGAGGGAAAGACCACATACGTGTAGTTATATTGAAGCAGTGGGGTGGGGTGCTTGGATTGTCTGTTAAACAGAGGACCAGAGTGTCTGCCCTTGAGAAGTGTCCTTGAGTAAATCATTGAATCCCTGCCAGCTTCAGTGACGCTGTCCTGTAGCTAACCCTGACTTCTGACCTTCCTGTCCAGGTGGAGACACAAAGAGAAAGCAAAAAATCAGTCTCTTTTCAAATGCATAATTTCTAGAGAGCTAATAAAAAGTGAATTATATGTAGAGCTGCAACTAATAATTATCTTGTTGATGAATGTAGTCTATGCACATAATCAAGTATTAATTATTATATAAAATGTTTGAAAATAGTAAGCGTTGCTTCTCTCAGTTCCCCGGGGCCCAGGGGGATGTATTCAACTTTTTGTCAAAACCTAAAAAATATATTCCATTCACAATTAAATAAAATAGAGAAAAGCAACAAATTATCAGGTTTGAGAAGCTGAAGCTAGGGAATGGCTGGGAAAGGATAGGCTGCTTATAATTTTTATTTTTCTTACTGTCAACAAATCCCATTAAAATCCCAAGACAATGAATTGATCTTATTAGTGGTAATTGTCTGTTTCCAAAGCCTGATTTATCATATTCCTCTGTGCTATAGAGCTCCATTGTTGTACAAAAAGTACTGTGAAATGCACTAATCCACAGCTGTTTTAGGGGATTGAGTCACTTTTAAACCTGACTAATTTTAAAAACAATGTTTTTAAAACGACATGGCTAATCATTTCAGCACTAGTTATATGTATTTTGTTTATATGGTGTAGAAATCCTTGTCTGATGCTAGGCTACACGAGGAGCCCTTTTAGAATTGTGTTAATTTCCTCTGATTTGTACTCTCTTTGTTTTTCTTTCCTACAGAGAATTACATCATAAAAATGACCCAAGCCGTGCCCTCTTTTTAGATATTGGAAATGAGAAGGAATGGGATTGCAATTAGTTGGTTTGAGATAGAAATAGTTTTTAGTGCATACCTTTCAAAAAATAATTTCCTTAGTTTCAAAATGAGATCAATTCATAAAGGGATACTGACACAAATGTATATTCTTTATTTCCTGTGTAGATATCTAGTTATTGTGATTCAGGCTCTCTGCTGTCAACAGCTGTCATCGAGGCTATCCTTCACTGTTTCTGGTTGAGCCCCTTCCCACATGTTGAGGTCTTTTTGTCTTTTAACAATGAAAAAGCAAAACAAATCCCAATGTTCATTTCCCAGAGCGCCAGTGTCTTCAGTGCTCGTTCAGGATGATTAGAGAGGAGAAAATGGCATTTTCACCGAGAGGCAGTGAGTCAGCAGAACGCCAACTCGCAAGGCAAATTCTCTGTAATTTTGAGGAATGATTGACAGTAGTCCACAGTAGGAGTCCTTGAAAAACTGGATGGCAGTGCATATAGAATTCAGTTTATCAAACAAAGTAAAGGTCCACTGTGTTAGAAAGAAGCTTAGGGGAGACTGTTGAACCTCTTATGTTTGATATCTATGTAGTTGTGTTTTTGCAGTTTGTCATTATCACCAAGTACCTACGCTTATAGCACAAGGAGATGCAACTGACGGAGTACGAGCAGATTCCTTTTGAAAAACTAGCTTGAATATATGCTTTCATCCCGACTTTTTCCTGCTCTCATACATAATTAATCCTGGAGTATTAGGCAGTTGAAATTTCCATATTATTATACAAAGCGCTTGTGTCTCCAGCTCTTGAATTGACTGTTCTTCAGATGAGTTTTTCTAATAGTATATCTCGGGGATGGAGCCGGTAACTCAGTAATAATACAATAATAATGTATGCTGACAACATGTTTTGTATCAGTCATTAATCTGTACTCTGGTGTCCTGTGCAGGTGCCTGTTTCTGCCCAGCCTGGCGCCCCACAACGCTCCCACCAACAATACCAACACCTCAGGTGTCAGCGATGGAGCAGTGCTGAGCGGGATGGGTACAGGTAAAAACAGCTTGAGTTCTCTGTTTCTTTATGTCGCAGTTGGATAATGTAGCACAGTTGGGATATGGAGACATGTTGACTAATTGCTGAACTAACGAGAAACATGTTAGCATTAGCCAGCCACCGTAGCCCACCAAGCTAGCTACTTGCTAAACGGGCAGAAAGTTCACATGGTTTATTCAAGAGCCCCGATAGTCTGCAAAACTTGCCTCTTATAAATAACATGGTACAAAATTGCTGATATATTTTATTTTATTCTCTTTTTGCATTCCCTCAAAATTCAACCATGTTAAGATGGTTTGCAATTGACCAGCGATTTTACGTGTCGAAGTTCAGAACAGAGTTAAAACCCTACATGAAAGCCATGATTTTGTGTTTGTGGATTTATTATGCCCCCATGAGCGAAAAGTCCTTTCCTGTCATGAGCTACACTTTAGGCTAACTTGTCACCCTTACAGAAAAATAAACAAAGTCCAGGTGAGACTTAAATCTAAATTAATAAAATAAATCAGTTAATTCAGGCGTCTGTTTTTTTAAATTTATTTACAGCATAACATGTGAATAGACCAGAGAATAAAAGTAATATAGCAGTAAAACATTTGCTTTGTTGAAAAGGATAAACCGAATAAAAGTAACATTCAAACCAGGCCGGCGTACACTTGGCCATATTGTGGCGCTAGCTCTTCAGGGGGGTCACATGCCCAACAGACGCTAGCTGTGACACAGCCCTTCAAAATAAAAGGACTGTGCCAGAAATACAGAAATGGAATGCACTTCAAAATATGTTTTTCTTTTTTGATGACATTGATACACACAAATACACACGCTGGTGATCCACTCATAATAGACGCAGAGTATGACCCACCAGTAGAGAATCATAAGTTATTGCTAGTATCCATTAAGGGAAAACTACTAAATAGCCCATAACCAATGTTAAACCCCGGGTACAGGATCCTCCTGTTGGAAGCATTTTGAATTGATGTTTACCAGTGACATGGTGTTAAAATGTGACTTGTTGATTTGTTTTTTGAATTTAACTTGGCTTTTCATTTTCTTCAAAAGGGAGAACATTGCATAACCATGACAAATGTTTTAATAACAGAGTGGGATTTAACCACCAACAACAGCCAATTTCTCTTACATTGTTGTCGCCTCACCAGACAGTTTGAAAGACAACAAACTGTTAGTTGGCGAAATAAGTTTTTCTTTCCCCCATGTTATTAACATATTCCATCATTATTTCAGAAATGATTACGAGATAAAAACATTTTTGTTGATTGATGATTGAAGTCTTCATTTGTCTTCCTGCTGCACATCCCACATGAAACACACACACATAAAAGACATCAAACACGTGATATACATCTTTGAACACTTGCATGCACATTTTGCCGCACACACCACTCACATCATTGTGTTTGGCTCATTACATCTGTACTGGTGTGTGTGTGTGTGTACACCATCTTCCTGATGACTTCTGTTGGTTTCCCCCAGTTCACCTGCGTTCCTGTTTGTCATCTTGATTTTCACTTTCTTTCTTTCTTCTTTGGGTTCAGGATTTCTTCATCTCACCCACAAAGAGTATATTTTTCTGATGTCTTCATGCAAAAATAAATTACAACACCCAAAACCCAAACAAGCAGCCGCTCTGATCTTCAGCTTTCAGGTTTCAGCTCTCTCAATGGTACTTAGATTCATATCTGCAGTTGCAACCCTCGTCTGTCCTTGGGCCTTTAGTTTATTGCCAACTGGTTATATAGTGTGTTTAAAACAAACCTGTTTGTTACAAAATGCACCATTAAAAACACAGTTTTACCGTTAGAGGTTTTACATACGTCGCTATGACGTTATGGTTGATTTTCTAGTCTGTAACCTCATTTAGTATTTATGAAGCTCTCTTCTCCTCTCCTTTCCTCCCCTCTCCTCTCCTATTATTAATCGATCCCCATCCTCATTCACTCATACATTACTATCATTTCTCCATCTGTTAGCCTATTCACCCGCTCCCTCTGCACTCATCCACCCCACGTCCTCCTCTTGTGTTCTCCAGCCAGTCGCCCAACACTATTTATAGACCTCCCTCATTTTTTCCCTGTCACTCACATTTCCCTTTTCTCCGTCCTTTTTATCGCTCATCTTATTCTCCAACCCTCAATCCTTTTTTGTCTTTCTGCCTCCGTCCCTTTCTTATTCCTACTTTATATTTTTTTTCTTTCCCCCCCATTCCTCTCCCTATTGTCTCTTTACCCTCCTCTCCCTTTTTTTGCCTCATTTGTCTCAATCTCCGGACTTCCCCTCCTCCTTCCTTTCCTGCTTCCCTCTGCTATCCCCCTCCTGTCTGACCCATATCTTTGGATGACATCATCAAGAAGCTCATTCATCAAAATATCTCTGTCTGCTCAGGAAGACATAGCACCTTTGTTGTATCAGCCTTGTATCCGCTAACTGATAAACATAAGAAATAGATGTGTTCCTTTAAGCCAGTTTTCATCACAGTGTCTTTGTTCTTGCTGCAGGTCCACTGCAACATTATAAACTTATTTTCCTGTAATCCAAGTCCTAAGAGTCCATGGTCAGCTCCACAGCTAAGAAATAATAATGGTACCAGTGTGCTTGCATTTAGCTTGTAGTTGGGTCTCTCCTCCAGTAAGGCCAAATATAAAAATCAATCCTTGATCATTTGGCTCCGAGCAGGTGATGGTGGTGTGCTAGCAGAGAGGGAATTGGGGTATTCTGGCTAATTCAAATTTGGTCCAGTCTGATAACCTGTTGAGTGACAGCCTGATCCTGGCAGTCTGCAATACTGTGAGGTTCATTTCTGCCATCAGGTTTAGCAGCTCAGTCCAATATAGTGTCACTTATGTTGACATGGCTCCGTATTTTTAGCTATTTTTTCTTGATGGCAGCACAAGATATTGTCTGCCTAATTCTGCCCTGAAGGCTGAGTTCAGATCCTTCCAATACGCTCAAATGTATTGTTCCGCAGTTGTGTCTGACAAGAAGCTATATTGAATAAATTAACTTGACATCATTTAGCTTGGTTTGCCAGAGATAAATCACTGAAGCGAAATGATGAAAGCCAGAAAAATGATGAATGACTGGTGAAAACTAATTTGTACAGGTGAGATAAGGTGACCCAAGGGGCTCACTGATGTATTCGACCTCAAAAGCAAAAAGTAAACATAATTTTCAAGATCATTAATAACATTAAGACAAATTGAGAGTGACTATATTACACAAAATAATTCACACTGTGTTTCAGCAAACAGGGCTGTAAAATCTAATCTTTCCAGAAACGACCATTTCTCTGTAAATAAATGAAAATGTCCCATAGGGAAAACTTTTTCAGAGAGCCTTCAAATGGTGGAAACTCAATTTAGTGTACACGTCAATGGACCTGCAGGTAAATATGTAGAGAGAGCGAATGTGTGTGTCTTATTTTGCACTGTTCAGTGTTGCAGTAGCAAAATTTAGGTTGTACCTCAGTCGGGTAAGTTCATGTTGTTTTGGAAATCGCAGAGCAAATTTTGTGCATCATTTCCTAAAATCCAGTGTAGGACGTTTTATGCTAAATAGACAATGATACAGAATAGGCTGTACTTAAAATATTAAAGAAAATTGCACCTCCTCTTTTTTTCTTTCACCTCCAGGGGAGCGCTTGTTCCCTCCTCCGTCAGGCCTAAGCTACTCCACCTGGTTCTGCGTGGAGCGTTTCAGCACAGCCCCTCAGGCCCACCCGGTGCGCCTGCTGACCATTGTCCGTCGGGCCACGTCCTCAGAGCAGCACTATGTCTGCCTGGCAGTTGTGCTGTCTGCCAAAGATCGCTCGCTCACCGTCTCCACCAAGGAGGAGCTGCTGCAGACCTACTGTGAGTACAGCAGTAAAGTTGAACAACCTGTTTCATTTATTGCATCAGATTGTGTTTCTTTTTCTTTACACCAAATGATGTCCAATATATCAAACAAAAGTATTTCCTTATTAATATTGGTGGGTTTGGGACAGAGTAACAGGAATAGGCGGGTGGTAAAGTGGGAGAAGTCTGCATATCTAAAGTACCTTAGAAAGCTGTCCCTTGTGGGTTTTCAGTCACTAACCCAGAGTTAATGTTTTTACATCCGTCCAAGCCCTCTGACTCATCGACATTGCCCCCTTGCTTCCCTCTTCCTCCCCTCATCAAGCAGCGGACGAGTCGAGTGAAGAAGCCTCCTTCTATGAGATCCTGCCCTGCTGCGCTCGTTTCCGCTGCGGGGAGCTGATCGCTGAGGGCCAGTGGCACCACCTGGTGCTGGTCATGAGCAAAGGCATGCTGAAGAACAGCATGGCCACGCTGTACATCGACGGCCAGCTTATCAACACCGTCAAGGTAAAGTTATGGACTGAATGAGATCATGCGTGCGCCGCATCTCAGAAAAAGTCTTTCTCGGGCTACACGGCAAAACAAGTGAAAAGGGCTTATCACAGATTCCTGAAACTTAAGAAAATGTGTCTGATCAACAGTCAATTATATACAACGTGACTACCAAATAGAGCAACTGAGAGTGAGTGGGCGTGTAGACTCTACCCATCCACAAACTTTGGTTGGGTGGCACACTTCTGATATAGATGATAGCAACAGCAAGCGAGTAAGTAAGTGGAATCAGTAGTTGTTTGCTCTTGAGCGAAACCTTCCTTAGTACCGCTTTGGGAACTTTAGGGAATACAGATATCTTACAGTTAGCGCAAAATGTTTTGAAAACTGACCATGATTTAGATAAAGAAGAAGCTGCCGAAAGACATTCCTAAACCGGGGTTTCAACAGTTGCCTTGCAGCACAGCAGTCAGCAGACTGTGATGTGGCTTGTGGTTTAGTGACTTTAATTCCCCTGAGATTGGAGAGCAGAGCAGCGACACGGTTTTGGCAGACCGCAAGTCTCAGCTTCCCTCCAGCAACACTGATA